CAAATAAATAAATAAAATCTTAAAAAAAAAAGAAAAGAAAAGAAAAGAAACACAAAATTAGTAATACACAATCAGTTACAACTCTGTGTAGGCTCCATGTCTAACGGGGGGCTTGAGATCAAGAGTCATGTGCTCTACCGACTGAACCAGCTAGATGCCCCAAAATGATATAATGTTTAAAAGTTAACAAATTTCTCAAATATCACCTAATGTAGGGGGAATTACATAATATTTTTACTAACAGCTCTATAATACTTTTATCTTACTTTTTGGGGGTTGCATACATGTTGATTGACTTTTCATTTGACAACTTTGCAATAGAAAAAAAATAATTTGGACTGTCCTCTAGCATAGTGGATGAAAAGTTGCTTTTTTTTTTACACTTTACAGAGTTTTCTTTCAAATTCTTAACTCTTCAGTAGCAATGTAAGTTTTAGGATTGTTGTCAAATTTGGGGAAACCTCTATTAAGTTGCTCTGATATCTGAGCTATAAGATTTCAGGGCATTTCAAATTTTCTATGGAGTGAGTCCTCTTAAATATTCTTTGAATTGACCATATTCATATTTTTGCTAGAAGGCACTGCAAACTGGAATGGCCACCATTAATATAACTATACGTAGAAGAGATAGCAAAGCACAAAAATAAGTATATCCCTTAACAAAATCTCAGAAATGCCCACTGTCACCCCCTGGTTATAATCAGAGGAGAAAATATGACTAAGGGACAATTGAAAGGGAAAGACAGTCGTCTTAACTGATTATGGTTGAAATACCTAACTTTCGCAAATTTAACAAAAATATATACACATGTAAACATATTGGAAGGTACTCATGCAAACAAGCTTTATTAGCTTTATAGTAATCTGCCTCTATAGACTAGCTCACTTGGGTTTTGTGAATTTTGAAAAAGGTAAACCAGATTTGGGAAACTGCCTGCTATTTAAACAATCAATAAATGTTACTGAAGAAAGACAAACAGAATTGTTGATAATCTTTTAGGATGGTTGATGGGTATGTGGGGATGGTTCATTTTACTTTGTGGGTTTGAAATTTTACCTAATACAAAGTGTTGTGGTTTTTTTTGTCATTTGAGATAAAAATATATGTAAATATTTTAACTGTTGTCTATGCTGGAATTCCTCTGAATAGATCATAAAATAATTTCTAAGTCACCTCAATAATAATAGTTCCTATTAACAATTTGTATTTTTAAGCAAAAAATTTGTACTAGACACAAAAATAACTCATGTGGCTATAAAAAGTACTATAAGAACTCTAACAAAATTTGCTGGGGTTTTTTTTCATTTGTCTTTGATGGGTATTGTAGGTAACTGAAATAAAACACCTTCAGTTCTGAATCTAACACTGGATTTTGTTGGAGAATCTGCAACCTCCCTGGCGGTGAGCACAGAGACACATAGTGACTGGCTGTGAGACATCTGTAATATCGCTGGCTCTTGATGGAGCAACGAGCTTGCTGAAGAAGCTGCATGTAGATTCCATCATTAATATCAGTGATGCATCAAACCAGAGAATTTCTAGCAGTCAATTCAGCATGCAATATGGTTTCTTGGAAATAATGCATTTTCCTGTCCCCAAATGTTTCTCTGCACAGCTAACAACACAATAGAACTCATCATAGCAACAAAAACTTCAGCCCCTAAGATTTGTCATTGTCCTTTCAATCACTGTACATTTATTATTACCAATGACTCCCCATTTTAGTTTTTGGATCTTTAGCATAAGCACATGTTTGGAAAAGTAAACAGTGAAATAATCAATGTTCATGAATGTGAGGGAAGCAAAGTTGGCCTAAAATCTGATAATCATATCTAACCAAGTAATGGTGTTTTCGCAATGAAATTACAGGATTATTCTGTTACCTAAAAATGTATAAAATAAGAATCCAAAAAAAAAGCAGCAAGACCTTTTTATTTTAATATAAAACTATTCCACTGCACTCCTGAAAAAGAAATAAACCCAGGCTTTTGTGAGTATTAAAACAATGCATCGATTTGAAATTTTTTTATTTGTTTATATGCTTCTAACTTTTTATTGCCAAGTACATTAAATACAGATATGTAATATAAACACAAATATCATCTAAAATATCCTATATAAGATAACATCCTATGTATTTGGTTGGTTTTATTGCTACACTGCTTAGTTTTAACTGGTCTGATTTCATAGTATCAGAAGAAAAAAGAATTGGGAACAAAATCTCATGGGTTGGATAATCACATAAAAAGAAAAATACCATTTTGTAAATGAATGAAAGATAAAAATTCTTCATCAAGAGGCTTCTCCTGTGATGTCAGGTTGTCACACACAACAACTTTGCAATAACAAGCCATGCTTCTTCAATGTACAAGGTCATGTTTAAACTTGGAAAAGAGGATGCATGTAATAGCTGGGAAGTTCAGAACTGTGGACCCAGGGAACATTCCACATAATGCTGCTTGATAACAATGTGGTCGTACAAAATAAATATGATTAAGGAAATAACTTATGTTAACATTTGCTACTTTTACTTAAATATAAATAAATCTCATTGAAAACATAAAAAAGTATTTGCTCGTTTCTTATTAGGGTATAAAATCCAGGGAAAAGATCCTTTTCTGGGCTGATTGCTTCTCTACCCCTACACATTAAGGCATTACCATTATAACTGCCTATGTGGCTCTGGCTTGTTTGTCTTCTAAGGGGCCATACTATATGTAGGATATAGAGACAATATCCAAGATAAACGTGCGTGCTATGTAGGATATATACACACTATCCAGGAAGGTTAACATTTTTATTGAAAAATGATAATTTTATTGAGATACAAGTGATTTACTTAAAAAAACTACTTTGTAGTATGTTTTGCCTACTAAATGTAAATAAAATTGTCTTTGCAAAACATAACTATTACTCAACTAGAATTTCTATGGTCCTTCCTTAAGATATTTTTAGATGTGTTTTGAAATTTTTATAGGTAATAGAATATATATCGTCTTTCTAATTCAGTTCATATATTGGTTCTAAATGAGTTACAAATAAGAAGGAGCTGGGTGGCTCAGTTGGTTAAGCATCTGCCTTTGGCTCAGGTCATGGTCCCAGGGTCCTGGGATTGAGCCCCTCATTGGGCTCCCTGCTCAGCCGAAAGCCTGCTTCTCCCTCTCCCTCTGTTGCTCCTCCTGTTTGTGCTCTCTCTCTCTCTCTGTCAAATAAATAAATAAAATTATTTTAAAAAATGAGTTACAAATAAGAAAACTGATGAAACTGAATAGAGTGCCCAGAAGGCAATTGATATATATGTATGCATGTATTATGTATTCATATACATACAAATTTAGAATATGATTAAAGTAGAACCTTCAGTAAGTAGGGAAAGGAAGGTTTATTCAATAAATGATACTGAGGTAACTGGTGAATGAGAAATAATTATGTTCCTACTTCAAACTATATTTCATAAAAAATTCCAGATTAATAAAATGTAAAAATTGGACTGAGATAAAAAAATACACGAATATTTTTATGTTATCTGAAAGACAAGGACTTTCTAAATCCACAATTAGCCCTGCAAAAGTGTCAAAGAAAAATTTACTAATGTATGAGTTTCTACATGTGTGTTCTGCCATCTTCCTACATGGAGATGATAATTACATCCCTTTTTCTGTGAATGTGTTTAATGCATTTGTCATTTTTGCAGCTTTTTCACATTTTTCCTTACAAAATTTTTGTGCTAATATTGTGCCAGAGCTTTTCTTCAACATTTACTTTATAATGACATGGTTTTTCCTCGTCCAGCTTTTGCATTTGAGTTTATGGTTGGTGAGAGGGGCCAGGGCTCCCTGCCAGGCTTCAGACCTTTCTAAGGCTCTCTCTTCACTGTCATATATATAGGCATATAGGACATCTAGTTAAATTTGAATTTAAGATGAATGAGTCATTATTTAGTGCGGTATATCCCAAATATTACAAAGGATATACTAAAAAAATTGTTCATCTGATTCACATTTAACTGGGTGAGTTTAATTCATCCAGCAATCCTACAGCAGCAACAATGGGTGTAACTCTGGTAAGAACATTCAAGTAAGCATTATTTACTTGTCCCTTACTGTAAGAAATCAAATAAAGTAACAAGGAGAAAAACAAAAGAGCAACAGCAGAACACCCTGTCCTGCTATTTTTAGTAAAATAGGCAACAGATTGGGCGCCTGGGTGGCTCAGTTGGTTAAGCGACTGCCTTCGGCTCAGGTCATGATCCTGGAGTCCCTGGATGGAGTCCCGCATCGGGCTC